ATCCAAAAATAGTATATTATTTCTCTTGGATGAATACAAATATAAATTAATATTTCAGAAAAAATAATTAGTTATTTTTATTTATCAATGTTTCGAATGAATTTTTTTTTTATTTACACAGATAAATATTCTAAAAGAATATTGAATTGTTCTTCTCAAATAATGACTTTATAAATATACAAAATTTGAAAAAAATAACTTTAACGTTCACAAAGAAGCAAACATTTATATTATAACAATATTTTGGTAGAATATTATTGTCTGAACCACAATTTTTACATTCATCAATATTTTGGAAATATTATGTTATTTTACTCTCTCTCTCTCTCTCTCTCATGCAACTTTTGTAGATTATAAGGTAAAAATAACATTATAAGGTAATGTGAGATCTCTAAAATTGGTGTTTTACTGTTTCCGTGGTTGAGTAAATTATAAGCTCTAAAATTGGTCCTGTCTTAGAAATAAATAATTATATATTTTGAAAATTGTTTGAGTTGAATGACAAAGTGTTATTTGTTTTCCCTGTCAATCCCACATAAAATTATATTTAGTACACAGTACAATAAGTAATGTGCCGGTGTGAGAAGCTGAGTGACAATGGAGTATTTATTTTACCTATTTTTGGTGGGTTGGGAACCATGTATAGATAAGTATTATAGGTTGAGGACTAATTCTGCAGTTTGTCTTAAAAGGCAAGTGATTATGAAATTTATGCAAGTACTAAATAAAAAATGGTAATTGTTTAATACCATTCACATGCAAACGCCTAGATTCAAGTTAAAAGAGGACTGTGATTCAATTTTATATTTTAAGCTGTGTTTAATGATCAGAAGCACTTACAAGTGGGTTACTATTTGCATATGATCAAGAATAATGCTATCTAACATCAATAGTGTTGACATCAATTAAGTTAGCCACATTTAATGAATTTAATTATATGAATCATGCGATATTACATTTAAGTGAATCAATAGTTTAATGTCATACAATTGACATCTAAACTAGTGCTTATCACCAATGATACTAAATAGCAATTCAATCTACAACATATCATATTAATGGATACTTATTTATTATTCACTCATATCGGAGACTCAATATTATTTCTCCAACAAAATTTCTCATAATCTTCTGAGAGTCATTAAAAGACTAGTTGTGGCACTTAATCAGAACCCCAAAAAATTAGTTATATGTTGACAACTTGCTTGTAATTTATGTATTTTATGCAACATGAGGCACACCCCTAAGCTTCATAACCATACAAGAATCATCTCCTTAAGTTAGAAAAATATACTAACATTTTTTATAAATTTGTCAACATGGGTTGTTGGAAGAAAAGTAAAAAAATCGCATACAATTGGTCATCTTTCAACGAATTAAACTTTGAAAATAATGCTAACATTTGTTTATTAAAAATCGGGCCCGTAAAAAAGCTTGGACCATTTTACTCGAGTCGAGCCCGAGCATCAAGTTTTGGCTCGTGAACCGGTTCAGCCAGCTCGGCTTGTTGACACCACTGCAGAAACCCTTGCTGCTGGGATTAGAAAATGATTTCCATTTTTAGATTTCAACAATTACTCCAAATTCTTTGTACTCTTTCTTTATACCTTTCGATATTTTTGTCCATGGCCCTTACCAAACAAGATTTTCAATGAAACAATTGTTATGAAATTGTAATTCAAGAGTGAGAATTTTAAACTAATTATGTAAATGATCATTGTCATGAAATATATTAAGCTTAAGAATTATGCCTCATTTCTGTCATATATATGAATTTCTGCTAGTTTTTCTAGGTATTAATTTTTGCCATTATTAGGAATATACTGGTGTTAGTGCGGAAACGAAGTGTTGAAGAAAAACTTGAATTTTTATTGATAGTTTTTGAGTTGCTACAGCACACTCAATAATGTTTTCTTCTTTTTTTTCTTGCAATGAGACTACAAGAATGACCTCTATTTATAGGACCACATGGATAACTCTAGAGACATGGGAATATAAATAGACACCTAATAATTCATGAATTTGCATCATGTATTTTCCTGATACATTTTCTTCAAGTGCATCATGTATTTTCCTGATACATTTTCTTCAAGTGCATCATGTATTTTCCTGATACATTTTCTTCAAGTGCATCATGTATTTTCCTGATACATTTTCTTCAAGTGCATCATGTATTTTCCTGATACATTTTCTTCAAGTGCATGTAACCTTATTTCCTAAGATTACAAATTAATGCCACATTTAACACCCCCTCTTAATTTGTAATCTTGAGTTTTTCCTTGATCTTGTCGAACTTGTCAAATGTGACTGCCTTTGTTAAAATGTCTGCTGGCTGATCATTTGTGTTGATAAATTCCATGCAAATTTCTTCTCGACTTACCAAATCTCGAATGAAGTGATGACGTAGTTCAATATGCTTCGATTTGGCATGAAAAACTGGATTTTTTGTCATAGCAATTGCTGACATATTGTCGCAATGTATTGTTGTTGGCTCTTGTTGTTCAAACATCAAGTCTTTTAGAATTCTTCTAAGCCAAACTGCTTCACAAACGGCATCCGCAGCTGCAATGTATTCCGCTTCTGCAGAAGATAGTGCTATAGACCTTTGCTTCCTCGAACTCCATGAAATAATATTTGTTCCAAGATAAAAGATGTAGCCCGATGTACTTTTGCGGTCAACAAGTGAGCCTGCCCAATCACTGTCAGTGTAGCCAACAAGGTTGAAGTTATTTTCCTTTTTGAACTCAATACCTTGATTTTTTGTACCTTTAAGGTATCTCAAAATTCTTTTTGCCGCCGTAAAGTAATTCTTGCTTGGTTCATTCATGAACCTGGAAAGTAAACTCACTGATTGAGTGATATCCGGCCTTGTGTTGAGGTAGATGAGTGAACCAATTAACTTTCGGTAGAATGTAGCATCTACTTTTTCAGCATCATCATTGACTTGGAATTTTTCATTCGACCCCATTGGAGTAGAGACTGGCTTGCACTGGTTCATGCTGAATTTTTCTAGAAAATCATTAATATACTTCTCTTGAGATAAAAAAATTCTTCCCTTCTGGCAAAGTAACAAGCTTCCAAGTTTTGTTTTTCTCGATTGTGGACATTTCTTCATTCATGGCTTTTGTCCAACATACTTCTTTTGAGGCTTCTTCAAATGATTGTGGTTCACTAGAGAACAACCCAAGTTCACATGACTCATATATGTCTTGTAGTGAACGTGTCTTTCTTGGAGGGCTTTCTGGATCAGATTCTTCCTCACTTCTTGGAGTAGGGTTTGGATTATGCTCTAAATTTCCAACTTGTGACGGACCTGCTTGAAATGTTAATGGATCAACAAAATGGTATGGTGTCTGGTCCACAACTTCTTTCCCTTTCCAATCCCAAGATGCAGCTTCATCAAAAACAACGTTTCGTGAAACTGTAATTTTGTTTGTAGTTGGATCTAATAACCGATATCCTTTAGATTCATCACTATATCCAACAAAGACAAGTTTTTGTCCTTTCTCGTCAAATTTCTCCCGATTTTGAGAAGGGATAAGAGCATAAGCAATGCTGCCAAATATTTTGAAGTGATCAACCATTGGCTTCTTTTTGTTCCAAGCTTCGTATGGAGTTTTATTCCGTACAGCCTTTGTTGGAGACCGATTGAGAATGTATACTGCCGTATTTACAGCTTCTGCCCAATACAGATTTGGAAGTCCTTTGCCCTTTAGCATGCTTCTTGCCATTTCAACAATTGTGCGATTTTTCCTTTCGGCCACGCCGTTTTGTTGCGGAGTTCGACTCACAGTTAATTGTCTTTTAATGCCATTTTTTTTGCAATATTCCATGAAAGAATTATAGAGATATTCACCTCTACGATCGGTCCTTAAAGTTTTTATCAAAAAACCACTTTGCCTTTCTGCTTGAGCTTTGAATTGAAGAAATGTGGAATATGCCTCAGATTTTTGACTGAGGAAGAAAACCCATATCATTCTTGTGAAGTCATCAACAAAGAGAATAAAATATCTCTTGTTTCCAAAAGTGGGAGTTTGCATTGGCCCACAAATATCCGAGTGCACAAGCTCAAGTGGTGCTTTCGTTCTCCATGAAGTTTTTGGAAACGACAACTTGTGCAATTTCCCATAGACGCATCCTTCGCACATTTTGTCTATGTGTTGGATGTTAGGAAGTCCCGTCACCATGTTTTTCATTTGGAGTAAACGAAGGCCTCTTTCATGAAGATGACCATATCGTAAATGCCACAAATACGCCAAATCTTCGTCTCTTGCCTTGAGTGCACAATTCTCATTTAGTGGCATCATAAGAGGAAATGTCTTGTTCTTCATTTCAATATTTGCCACACAAATATTTTTCTTTTTGTCAAAAACTTTACATGCACCATCATCAAAGTGGACAGAGAAGTCACTTTGAATAAGTTGTCCAACACTTAGGAGATTATGAGAAAGATTGGGAACATAAAGAACATCTGTGATGAGTTTCTTGTTACCTTCTTTAATTTGGACAGCAATGGTGCCTTTTCCTACCGCATCTCTACATGTTCCATCGCCAAGAATTACTTGTGAAGTAATATTTGGATTAAGGTCCACAAAGATGTCGCGATTCCCCGTCATGTGATTGCTACAACCGCTATCCAAAGACCAAGGGCTTTGAGCTCCATTTTCATAATTTTGAAAATAAAACAGAATTTCCTTTTCATTCTCTTGAGAAAAGTTTGCTGCACTTTTTCTTTCTGTCATCTCTTTATTTTGAAACCAACAATCCCTTTGAGAATGATTGGGGATCTTGCACCTTTTGCATCTAAAGTAGCACTCATTTGATTCATGATTCATTTTTTTGCAAATTATGCAAGTTGGATTATTACCACCAGAAATTTGTGTTTGCTCGCCTTTCCATTTGCTTTGCTTGTCACCCTTCTTCCAATAGCTATCTTTTTGTTTTGTTTGATTTGAGCCTCTGTTGTGTTCTCCATAGTTGTTCGATCCTCCTTTTGATGTTTAATTTGATTGGAAGGCTTGTTCGGTAGTAGATTGGTTACTCGAACGATTGATCCTTTGCTCATGGGCAAGAAGTGACCCAGTTAACTCATAAATGGTCATTTTGGACAAGTCTTTCGATTCTTCAATTGCGGCTGCAACATGGTCAAACTTTGGAGGAAGGCATCTTAACATTTTCTCCACGACTCTTTTATCTGTAATTGTGTCACCACAGCTTTTGATTTGATTTACTGTCTCGGCTACTCGTGAAGAAAAATCAAAGATCTAAGGAGATGAAGAAAGTTTGCATTTGGATGCTCCAGTATTCATAATGCTCGCCTTCGAAGATTGGGACTTGACTGGAAGAATATGTAAACAACGAAGCTGTTTGTATGAAAGCCATGAAAAAATGCAATCACAAGTTATGGCTCTGATACCAAATTTGTTAGTGCGGAAACGAAGTGTTGAAGAAAAACTTGAATTTTTATTGATAGTTTTTGAGTTGCTACAGCACACTCAATAATGTTTTCTTCTTTTTTTTCTTGCAATGAGACTACAAGAATGACCTCTATTTATAGGACCACATGGATAACTCTAGAGACATGGGAATATAAATTAACACCTAATAATTTATGAATTTGCATCATGTATTTTCCTGATACATTTTCTTCAAGTGCATCATGTATTTTCCTGATACATTTTCTTCAAGTGCATGTAACCTTATTTCCTAAGATTACAAATTAATGCCACATTTAACAACTGGATCAGCCACAAATTTTTATTTATTAGTTTTTGAAATAGAAAAAATTACCTGTAGCTATACTATTGTATGTTTATCCTTTTTTTCAATGTCCACTGCATACAAATTTCTAAACATTATTAACTTGTTTTGGTCACTCTTCTGTTAGTAATTTTTATAATCCGCATATTAATTTACATTATTCTTGATTTCTTTAACGCATAGTGTGGTCTGCGCAAGATAGTTTTCTCGAGATTATTAAACAAATAAATTTCACAAAATTTTTAATCCGTTTGGACGTTAATTCACAATATTTCCAGTAAAAAATAAATATTTTTCTTTTTTCTCTTCTAATTAAACAAACCTTCAGAGATAATTACTGTTGAAGTAAACTAATTGTATCCACTTTTACCGATTAACCTTATTATTATTATATTACTACTACTACTATTATTATTATTATTTTTTTTTTTTTGTGGGTCTAACAATTTTGCTAAATCGAACATAGTTATGCGCCGTAAATGTAGCGGCTTGTTCAGCACTTGACTTGATGAAAAATGTTCGATCAAAGAAAACCATTAACAGATTGGGGAGAGAAGAAGGCGATGAAGCTACAATAACATTGATACAATAATGCATTACAACTCACTGAAAGTAAGGAGAAATAGGCAGGAGATAGAAGGAAAATAGCACACCACACACTAACACGGATACGAACACACATGAAGACATGACTGGGCCATCATTCTACATGGTCATAGCCGGGTTAAGCTCCAGCCCTGAGGTTCACTTGTTGCTGGTTTCTGCATCTGGTCCCGCAATTCTTCCAGCAAAGTACTTTGGTTTGAATTGCTCTGTTCGAAGTCGATTACCTTTGCTTAAACTGATAAGAGACTTGGGAGTCTTAATAGCCGTATTGATGGCATTCTTATACGCCTCCTTTCCAGCAGCTAACATTTCATCCTTAGTTTTTTGCAGCGTTCGCACTGCTTCACAGGCAGTATCTCCGACATCGGCAAACCTATTTACCCATGACGGAAGCTTCGGCACTCCCAGCCTCTGCAACAACTCATTACAGAAATGGTTACAGTTTTTCGCCAGCAGATCGTATTTACTTCCCGGCCACTCCTGGCTAAGTTCTTTTAGGATTTGACTCACCTTGGTAGCGGAACAATTTGTTCTTCCGAGAACTATACGTTCACGGTATGTATACGACAGGTTTTTGCCAGCGGGACAGCTATAAACACCAGATCCCTTGTCGCACTGCCAGTATCCCCATTCCTCGTCGCCGTAAATCTGAACCGCGGTGTGAAAGACGCCGCCAATAGGAATGACCTGCTTACAGACGTTGTTGAGTTGAACGAGGGCGTAATTCGTGGTTTCGTAGCCGGAACTACTAATTGTAACGTCATATACGTAAAGGATCACTTCTGCCATCTTAATTAAGTTCAAAACTCTCTCTCTCTCTCTCTCTCTGTGACGAGTAGTCTTTCAAGCGAAGTATAAAGCTTGAAACACTAGCTGCTGGTCTTGGGTAGAATATTTATGGTACATGATTGTCAGGGGCAAAAAGGAGAAGTGAAGTGTGAAAGCGAAAACTAGGAAATAACAGGAAACTTTCTCTCGTCTTTCGTGGATCTTGCACGTTGAAAGGAGAAGTGAATTGTGAAATTATTCCCATGTATAAAGTTCAAAGAATTTATTAGTTTATTTATTTATCAGTTTAGAATATTTAAAATAATGTTAAAAATTACGCATAATTACTTGTATGCTTCACTTAAGCACTATAATTACTTGAATTTTATATTTATTTATTTAAATACCTTCTTTTACAATAAGTTTTCAAATTAAAAATAATTATTACATGAGAATTCGGGATATAAGTAATCACTTCCGTCATCTTAATTAAGTTCAAAACTCTCTCTCTCTCTCTCTCTCTCTCTCTCTGACAAATAGTCTTTCAAACAAATTATAAAGCTTGAAGCACTAGCCACTAACTGGTCCGGCACAGTGTATTTATGGTACATGATTGTCAAGGTCAAAGAGGTTAAGGGACGTAGTAGAAACTTATAGGAAAGATAAAAAAAATATCACAAAAAATTTCAAAAAGTAGAAAACTCAAGATATTATTCTTCGATTATGTCCCAGCCACAAAGGCTTACAAGGTTTTAAATAGTGAAACCCTAAAAAAAAAGATATATTTTTTTAAAAAAATGAAAAAAAGATAGAAATGGAACATCATAATCTTCGGGATGTTCCCACAAAAAATGGAAATCAAATCTGAATTTCTTTGCTTGAGACATGCGTAACTGAAAATTACCTAAAAGGAAAAAACGCAAAAATAAAGGCCTAAACGAAGGAATTTGCTCAAGATTGACCTGTATAAGGGGAAAAAACAATCGAATCTTGTTTGGCGGCCCGTTTCCATTCGAAATTGACTAAAAAATTTCCATAAATGGACATTCCCAAAATTTCTCCTAAGACTGGAAAGTTACCCATTTCTACTTGTGCTAGTCCCACTTTACCATAAAGTCTAATTCATTCTATACCGCATCATCTCCCAGGTTGAGAAAAATTCATCCTTGAATTTGGCGAGGAGGAATGTCATCATCATAATTATCACCATGAAATGTCACAAGGTGTTTGACATTAAAAACATCGGATGTACGATATGATTAGGCAGCTTCAAATTATATGCATTGAGATTAATCTTCTCAACGATCTTTAATGGAACAATTTCCTTGCGGCAAGCTTGGTATATTCATGAGCAGGGATACGATCCCTTGTTAACACCGCCCAAATAGAGTCACCAACCTCAAACTCGACATGGCGATGTTTAAGATCTGCATTGCACTTATACCTACCTGCAGTAGCCTGTAAATCCTTATAAGTCTGTGAATGAACCTACTTCAGTTTCTGAACAAAATCCTCTGCTTTACCATGTACTTTAACAGTATTAGAAATTGGAACTAAGTCAAGAAGGCTACGAAGAACGAGTCTATACACCACTTGAAAAGGACTAAAGCCTGTACTTCAATTAACTGTATGGTTGTGAGCAAATTCTGCCTGACATAAATTTTGATCCCAAGACTTGATGAAATCACCAGCTAGACAAGGAAGTAAATCACCTAAGGAGCGATTGATAACCTCAGTCTGACCATCTGTTTGAGGATGATAGGCACCGCTAAAGTCCAACAGTGTATTAACCAAATGCCAAAGGTTGCGCCAAAAGTGACAAGGAAGCGAGTATCCCGATCAGACACAATAGAAACATGAAGCCATGTAGGCGATAGACCTCATGGAAATAAAACAATGCCACATTTAAAGCATCAGTAGTCTTCTTGCAGGGAATGAAATGGATCATCTTCAAAAAGCGATCAACCACTACAAAAATAGAATCAAATCCACGCCAAGTCCTAGGAAGACTCAAGATGAAATCCATACTAACGTCTATCCTGGGTTGGGTCGGAATTGGTAGGGACATATACAAACCAGCATTAATGAACTTGCTCTTAACAAGATGACACGTTCGACAACGCTCCACAAATTTACCGACATGTTTGGGCAATGATGATAAAAAATAAGAAGCAGAAATGAGTTGTAACATTCAATCATGACCTACGTGGCTCTCATTATGTAATTCATGAATTATCTTAAGCTGCAAACTATCCTTAGGAATGCATAATTGAATTCCCCGAAAATGAAAATCGTCGACCCATACAAACTCCAAATGCACACCCTTCTGCAACTTTCGAATAATTTGTGAAAAATATGGATCAGTAGCATATAAATCGCAGATAGTGTTCAGAACTTGGGACCTCCAATCGCAGTTCTGTCCGAAGAGTTTGTTGCCTACTCAACGCATTCGCTACCTTATTAAGGGCGCAGCTTTGTGCTTAATTATAAAGATAGTTGTAAATAAGCAATCCAAAAGACAAGTCGAGCAGATACCTTATCTTGAATACCAATGTGTTTAAGGACATCATGGTCAATATACAAAACGAACTCCTTCTGGAACAAGTAATGACGTCAATGCCGAATCGCCTGGACTATTGCATAGAACTCTATATCATAAGTACTATATCGAGACTTAGGGCCAAAAAATTTCTCTTTGAAGTACGCAACAGGATGGTTACCTGGCTCAATACACCATCAATACCCACATTCAAAACGTCACAATGTAACTTAAATGGTTGAGTAAAATTAGGAAACACCAAAATTGGAGCGATTGTCAATTTTTGCTTAATTAATTGAAGAGATGCTTCTGCCTCAGGATTCCACTGGAACTTGCTGTCCTTCATACTGCTCCGCTAACGAGGTAACATAGTGCAGCGCAGCAGAATCCCGCCCGGCCTAGCTATCGTAATGCGTCCCGAATAGGCACTGTATCTGGGATCTCTTTTAAAGGAAGGAAAGAGGCCAAGCTTACAGAATTCAGGGAATTTATACTTAGAATAAATTGAGGTAAATGACTGATTCTTAGTCAACTCAGTTATAATTGGTGCCATGATGCTACAAAAATGTGGTATAAACCTACGATAAAAGGAAGCAAAGCTATCAAAACTTTGCAATTCTGTCATTTAGGAAGGTACACTTCTTGACTGCAGCATAAAATTTATCCTTGCAGACGACTAAAAGAACCTTTCGAATGTGTTGGACATGATCCTCAATGTTAGCACTATAAATCAAAATATCATCAATGTAAACTACAACAAATTCACCGATGAATAGATAAAGAGCTTGATTTATAACCCGCATAAAAGTACTAGGAGCATTAGAAAGACCGAATGACATAACTAACCATTCAAACAGCCCTTTTCTCATCTTAAAGGTTATTTTCCACTCATCCTCAGGCCTGGTATGAATCTGATGGTATTCACTTTTCAAATCAAGCTTACTGAACACGCAAGCACTGGTAAGTTGATCCAGCAAATCATCCAAGCGAGAAATAGGAAAATCGTAACGTACTGTAATCTTATTGATCGCTCTATTGTCCATGCACATACGCCACGTGACATATTTCTTTAGTGTAAGAAGGTTGGGAACAGCATAGGGACTAAGACTTTCTCTAAGGTGTCCCTTCGCTAAAAGCTTTTCAACTTGTCTGCGCAGCTCCTAGTGCTTAGTAGAACTCATCCTGTAATGCACCCGATTGGAAAGAGTAGCATCAGGCACTAGATCAATTTGATACTGAATATCTCGTAGTGGTGGCAACCATCTGGAAGCTTTGATGAGAAGACCTCCTGAAATTCTTCTAGCAACGGATGAATTCTGTCAGGAACCTCTCGATCAGTATCAATTGACTTGCCTACTAACACATGCACCAGATTTTGCCAACTCTATCTCAAACTTTGCCCTAGTTAATAAATTGGAGCTATCCCTAACTATTTTTATTGAGCCCTTGTTAGGTAGTAAAACAATCTTCTTTTCTCCAAACATAAAATTGTACGTGTTGGTATATCTGTCATGTAACAAGTGTCGATCAAACTGCCAAGGTCTTCCAGATAACAAATGACATCCATCTATCTCTGCCACGTCATACAAAACTTAGATTTTGTAGGTAGGCCCAACAGAAAAACTGATTAAAGCATGCTAGGATACTTTAACATCATTACTTCTTTTCAACCAGGCCAATTTATACGGTTTGAGATATTTGTTCAGTCTACAAACCTAATTTTTTAATGATCTCCTCAGCCTCTACATTCTCACAACTCCTAGAATCAATAACAAACTTGTAGATTCTTCTCCTAACCATACAAGTAGATTTGAAAATATTATTATGCAACCAATCACTCTTATCCTTCAGGGGAGTCAAAAAATTTCGTCTCATCATCAACGCTTGACCTATATCGCTAGCAACGAATTCATCTTCCTCTACTACTTCGTCAGTATCTCCACTATCAAAGACAAGTACTCCTTCAAAATCTTTGTACCCCTTATCAATGAAGAGTCCTCTACGTGCAATTTTGGGAGATTCTGATTATCTATGAGCCATGCCTGTATACAAGTAAAACAACGAATAGCATCTCAAGGATATGTCAACTGTTGAATGGGATTTGTTCTAGATGTACCAGCCTAGTTAGGACTATCAGGACGTATTGCTTGTTGTTGTGGGTTACTGGAAGAATTCCCTGCAGTTAGAGGGCTTATAGTTCATCGAGATTTCTATTCTCCATCTGCAGTGCCCTTTGATGCACTTCGGATGGGACGAACCAGAAAAAGTTTGGATAGAGCCAGATCTAAGCGTTGGTTAGGTAAGCGTCCTGTAGTAAGAGAAGTAGTTATGAACCTTATAGACCATCTCCATTGGGGTGGTGAAAGGAGAGCCATAATTAGTAGAAAAACCCACTACACCGTCATAGGATCAAATATATTCAAGGTATCCTGCATTTGGGGACAAAGACCACTCACATATTGTGACACCAATTGTTCTTCCGTCGCCATTACCTCATTCCTGGTAGTCAACATGTAAGACTCTGTTGTATAGTCAGCAATTGTCTTCATGCCTTGACGCAAATTCTACAATCGTTGGTACATAGTCTGAATATAATTATAGGGTAGAAATTGCTTCTTCATGTGCTTTTTTTAATTTATCCCAAAAAACAATCTTGGTCTTTTCTAATCTAGGCCTTGTTGCCACCATGCCATTAATTGTCCACGAAACCTAGTTGTAATGAGGAGCATAGATTTATCGGTAGGAACCTCCTTAAACTCCAAGATCTCTTCCACTGTAGTCACCCAATCCAAGAATTTTTCTGGCTTAATCCATTGTGGAATTCAGGAATATCAACTTTAGATCCTGACTCCCAATGCTTATTTTCCTGATGGCCACCTTCTCTCTATCCGACTAGTGGATCTATTGGTTGATCAGGTGCCGCAAATGGATATTCATCTTCAGATTCCTCAAATGGTTGGGCTATAAGAGCATGTTGCTTTGGTACGAGTGCAACAATTTGTTGGGTCAGTAACTCATCGCGTCTGTTCACCTCCTCTAATTGGGCATCACGGGCTTGTGGACGTCTTCTCGATGACATGGTGAAGGAATGAACCTCGCTTTGATACAACTCACGTAACGAAAGTTTATAGAAAAGATGAGAAAATCTCACAAAGAAATTTCAATGAGTAGAAAATTCAAGAAAATAGTTTATTCTTCAATTGTGTTTCGACGCAAAGGTTTACAAGGCTTTAAATAGCAAAACTCTAGAAAAAAAGTCATTTTTTTAAAAAATGAATTTTTTTTTTAAAAATATGACTGAAGTAGAACTTTCTAATCTTTAGGATCATAACGCAAAAAAGGGAAATCAAATCCAAATTTATTTGCTTGAGACATGTCTAATCAAAAATTATCAAAAAGGAAAAAAATGCAAAAACAAAGGCCTAAACGAAGGAATTTTCCCGAAATTGGCCCTACATCAAAGGCAAAGAGACCGAGTTCTGTTCGTTGGCCTGTTACCATTCAATTTCAACTAAAAAATGGACATTCACAATTTTTTTTAAAAATCGGGAAGTTGCCTATTTCTACTTACGTTGGTCCCATTTTACCATACAATCAAATTCCTTCTGCACCATATCAAGAAGTGAAGAGTGAAAGCGAAAGTGAAAGCGAGGAAATAACACGACACTTTCTAGCTGGTCCTGCGTAGTGTATTTGTGTTACATGATTGAAGAGTGAAAGCGAAAGTGAAAGCAAGGAAATAACACGACACTTTCTAGCTGGTCCTGCGTAGTGTATTTGTGTTACATGATTGTCAAGGTAAAAAGAAGAAGTGAAGTGTGCAAGTGAAAGCGAGGAAATAACACGATATTTTCTCTTGTCTTTTGAGGTTCTTGCACGTTGAAAGTGAAGTATGCAAGCGAAAGCAAGGAAAAAACACGGCATTTTCTTTCGCCTTTCGTCGCTCTTGCATATTGAAAATGCATAAATTCGTATCATTTGCTAAAAAATAATTATTAATATTGTTATATTGAGTTTTCGAGTTTCATTATAAGTTGTTATTATTAGATACTTGTATGGAGTGTTAACCCAAGTATACACCTTTATGTATGTGTATATCTCCCTTATTATAATCATTTTGGCAAAGCCCTCCTACTCTTATAAATTTCGATAAAAATTAGAAATATGTGTGTGGTTGAAAATTTGTGAAATCCTTTGAAGTGTGTAATTAAAATTAATTATTAACTTTAACCAAGATTTAATTCACTTTTGTAGCTATACCAATTAACCAAACATGAGCTAAGTATAGAATACCAACTTAGAACATGAACTGAATTAATTTTATTTTTAAAATTTACATTTCAATAATGGACAATTGAAAAAGATAAAACAGATAAAACAGAATTTGAAAAGTCACCATTTTATTACTTCTTAAAAGTTTAAATCTACTTGCATAGTATGTCTTAAAAATATAATCAGTTATTTTTGAGTTTGTCATACACCTAAATAAAATAGATGTGAATTGCTTAGCATTCAGAAGTTGGATTGTCAGAGTAATCCCAAGCAGGGCCTTACCTCTCAATTATACATGCCGTCATAAACAACTTAAGACCTTGCTCGGTAGGGATCTTGAGAATTGATTTTTTGATCATTAGAAAAAAAGTGAGGGCTACCTGTAAGAGAAAAAATCAAAAGTTACGGCAGAAATAGTGAAAAATCACTCCCAAACACCCCCATAAACCCCTCTTTGATAGAAATTATAATTTAAATTTTTATAAAAGTTAAAGTTAACTATTAATTTTAATTATATATTTTATAGAATCTACAACTTTTCAATCACAAATTTTATTAAAATTTATCAAAATTTATTAAATATGATTTTAGTCTTCACCAAACAAGGCCTAAATGTTGGACTCATCATTCATATCACCAACAGAGTGGAAATAGCAGAAATTTTTATTAATTTGGGGGATTTTTTTTAAGCAGAAACAAATTTAATGACCAACTTGTAATTTCTCTAAAACCTTGGCGACTAAATGTAAAAAATTAATTTCTGTAAAATATGTTTACCATCGGCTGGGGGAAAGCACTGGTAAATCAATAAGAAATTTCCTCCCACGAACTTCAAAAAGAATCATTTTCAAATTCGAAATTCCTCCCATACAAGCTCTATATATCTCAAACCAGCAAAAACACCAACCCGCACTCAAAAGCTCTATAACAACTCAACCAGAAAAAATACCAGCAGCACTCAAAAAATGTCTTCTGCAAATGCCTCTGATTCCTCTTCCACTGCCATTACCCGTATATGGAGTTACGACGTATTCTTGAGTTTCAGAGGTGAAGACACCCGTAAAGGTTTCGTCGACCACCTCTACACAACCTTACGCGAAAAGGGTATCGACACTTTCAAAGACGACATTGAGCTCCGGAGAGGGAGTTCCATTTCCCCTGTACTCAAAAATGCCATTGAAAGATCCAAAGTCGCACTCGTTGTCTTCTCAAAAAACTATGCCGATTCCTCCTGGTGTTTAGATGAGATTGTTCAGATCGTTGAATGTAACAAGAAATTAGGCCAAAAGATTTATCCTGTATTCTACCATGTGGAACCTTCGCATGTTAGGAAGCAAAAAAAGAGCTACAAAAAAGCTTTTGACAAATATGAAAATGATCCTAACGTGGAGAAAGAGAAGATTGAGAGCTGGAGGAATGCTTTGAAGGAAGCTGCTAGTGTTTCTGGATGGGACATCAAAGAAACAGATGGGTAAATTACCAACACTTGGACTCTTCCTTGTTAAATGTCTTTAACCTTTATAAATCATCAGACTCATCTAAACTAACAAATCATATCCTAATTAAATCACGGGTTTCGTCCAAAAATAGAGTTAGCATGCTTTAGAACATGGGGCAAATAATTGATTGCAATTTGTATTTTTTTCTTTTCTAAAAACATGAAAGGTAAATAAGTCTTTTTACTTCATTTTAATGAAATTTTGGACAAAATCAGTAATTAGAGAGAAATTGTGTTAATTTGAGTACAAAAACGCGATAAAAAAAGTTGGGGACATAAATGTGATAGTCAAAGATTACGAACCTTTTATACAAATACAATGTGGCGTAGTTATTTTTTGCCTACTTTTACTTCACTTTTTTACTGAGCCAAAAATGCTTTTAATTAGAATGCTATGCAATGATAATCCAATGAGATATTAACGCTATAATGATTTTACTTGTTTATTTAAGCATGTGATGTTTAATGGATGGGAATTTCGAGCTTAAACGTCTTTATTTTGTAGCTAGTTTATAAACTCAGTTATGGTTTGTGTTGTATTTGAGATTTTAGGATCTCATCCAGTAGTATAGATAGGTAACATATGATAGTTAACATGTTCATATTTTACTACTTAACTAGTGAATATATGCAAATGCAAAAAGATATTGAATTGGTTAATTGATAAGAACACACAATTGGTTTTCATTATTTTGTCATAATATGCATTCATATTCAGGATATTTAAACTTTGAGTGATTTAAACTAGTTGATATTAGTGAAAAAATGCACTCTAATGTTAACCAAGGCATTTTTATGATTTAATTTCATTTCTAACTCAAAGCCTGCTATTATATCTTCAGGCACGAGTCGAAAGGCATCAGAACAATTGCTCTAGATATTTTAAACAGTTTGAGCCATACAGTCTCTCGTGTTAAAGAAAGCCTGATTGGAGCAGAGTCGCATGTTCAGAAGGTGATGTCCCTGTTGAATCTCGAGTCAACTGAAGATGTTCGCATGATAGGTATATGGGGTATGGGTGGCATCGGGAAAACAACTATTGCCAGGACAGTTTTCGATCAAATATTTAGCAAATTTGAAGGCAGTAGCTATCTTGACAATGTAAGAGAAGTTTCCAAAACTTTAGGACTGAATTCCTTAGAAGAAAAATTACTCTCCGACACTCTGATGGAAAAAAGTGCAAATCTCCACAATAACGTGTCTGCCCTATTCACAAGGCTACGTCACAAAAGGGTGCTTGTTGTTCTTGATGATGTCAATGAACTTGAGCACTTAGACCGATTGGCTGGAGGGCATGATTGGTTTGGTGCCGGTAGCAGAATCATCATAACAACAAGAGACAGGCAGTTACTTTCAGCTCGTGAAGTTAATGAAGTATATGAGGTCAGTTTCTTAGGGACTGATGTAGCGTTAAAGCTGTTTAGCAAATTTGCCTTTAAGGAAGGTTTTCCCAAAGAGAAATTTGAAAAGCTTGCACGTGCGGCAGTTAGATATGCTCGCGGTCTTCCTTTAGCTCTTAAGGTGTTGGGATCTTTCTTACGTAGTCGAGATATTGATGAATGGGAAAATGCATTGGATAGATTGGAAGAAATTCCGGAAGATAAAGTCTTGGAGAAACTTAAAGTGAGTTTTGATGCACTGAACGACATGGAGAAGAAGATATTCCTGGATATTGCTTGTCTTTTTAAGGGAAAGAAGAAAGAATATGTGATGAGAAAACTTGACAGCTTCGGTCTGCGAGCTAAGATTGGAGTAAGTGATCTGATTCAAAAATCTCTCTTGACTGTAACCGCTGATAATAGGCTTCAGATGCATAACTTATTGCAAGAGATGGGTTGGTACATTGTGCGACATTCGCATCCTAACGAGCCTGGGAGACACAGCAGGTTATGGTTACCTAAGGAAATAAGCTCTGTACTAACCAAAAACTCGGTAAGAACTGAACTCATACTGATTTGATACTAAAGAATCTTTTACTGTGTTTATCTAAGGTTTTTAGGCAAGTGATATAATTTTGAAACTTACCTACCTTCCATAATAATTGTTGACAATATATAGGGAACAGAAGATATTGAGGGCATACATCTGGACTACGGAGAACCAGAAAGCGTGAAAATTAACCCGAAAGCCTTTACAAATATGAAAAACCTGAGGCTACTCAAAATCCACAATGCATGCATTCAGCAAATGCCAGCTTCTATTCCACGTGACTTGCAATGGCTTGATTTACACAAGTACCAAACGAGGACTCTGCCTCCAAGTTTTCAAGGAGAAAAGCTCGTTGGACTGAAACTGTCCCATAGCTATATTGAACACCTTGGAGGACTAGAAAAGGCACAATTGGTATGTCATGAATTTTCATTTTAATCATAGTTTCATTGTCACATTATTGATGCTTCATTTGGATATGCAGAGCTAACATAATCTCTCGTTTCCCTTGTCCTGCCTCTTTGTTTTTTAATTGGGCAGAATAAGTTGAAATTCATCAATCTCAGTTACTCTAAGCAATTGGTGAAAACTCCAGATTTCAGCAAAATTCCAAATCTTGAAAGATTGGATCTCAGCAATTGTAAGAGCTTGGAAGAGGTTCACTCGTCCCTTGGGAATCTTAAAAAGCTTTTATACTTAAATTTGGCACACTGTATTAAACTAAAGACTCTACCAAGTGGTATCCATTTAGAAATGCTGAAAACACTTGTTCTGTGGGACTGTGTAAAATTAGAAAAATTTCCAGAAGTGACTGGGGAAATGGAATGCTTGTCGGAGCTTCATTTGGAGGGGACTGCAATAAAAGAGCTACCCCTGTCGATCAGCAACATTACTGGCCTTGTTCTGATAAATCTCAGCAAGTGCAAAAACTTAAAAAGTCTTCCAAACAGTATTTGTGATTTGAAATGTTTGCAAACTCTTAATCTCTCTGACTGCTTAAAGCTGGAAAAACTGCCAGAAAACCTTGGAGAAGTCAAGTCTCTGGCAGAACTTCTTGTAGATGGAACTGCTATTACACAACCACCGCCGTCAATTGCATGTTTGACGAACCTGAATATCTTGTCATTCAGTAGATGCAAGCGGCCAAAATCTGGGATGTTTTCGGGTAATCTGGAGTCATCTGTCTCTTCTATATCTGGTATGTTACATTTGCAAAAATTAGGACTCTCCAGGGGTAACCAGACAAAAGGTTCTTTGCCTCCAACCCGACCATCTTTGTCTGGTTTATGTTCCTTAAAAAAATTGGATCTCAGTTCCTGTGATCTACTTGAGGAAATTTCAGCTGATCTTGACAGCTTGTCATCTTTGGAAGAGTTAGATTTGAGCAGAAATAACTTTGTAGAATTTCCTGCAAAAATTTCTGAACTTCCTCGACTCAAAATCGTAAAACTGGAAAGTTGCACAAATCTTGAATCACTACCGGATTTTCCAAAAAGTATAGCTGTAGTAAATGCAGATGATTGCCATTCATTAAAAAGCTTGGCAAATCTCTCTGAAAAGCATGCCTTCTTGAGGAAGGTCTCATTTCTCAATTGCTTCAAACTGTTCGAAAATGAGGAGAACCATAATGCTGCTGATAAGTTGCTACACTCTCTACTTCAGGTTGGTCTTCAAATTTCTCTCCTTTCCAGTACACGTATAAGAGTAATTTCTCTTACTTCAAACATTTATTAATCATCTGTGCTAAATCAATGCTGATTCCATGGTTCATAATTAGAGTAAACGTGGAAATTCAATACATTTCTAACTTTACATTGGTTAGGTGGTGGGTGGATAGGTATCTCTGGTGCTTTGGGGGCACATTTCCACCTTTGTTAACATGAAATGAGAAAGATCCTCAATTACATTTTATGGTTGTGGTGCCTAATTTGTAGGGAAAAAAAGAATAATAAAATAGCTCTTTCATAAAAAATTAGTATATTTAAACAATGATCTGTAGAAAAACCGAAAAAAAGAAAAAAGAAAAAGAAAGTGAATCTGCAAATTCATAGAAAACGCTATGTAAGGCCATCTTTTGTATGAGGTAATGATTTCTTTAAATTTAGATGACTATTTAACAACAAATCTATGTATTCATAAATTTCCCAAACATCAATAACGTATTAAGGCTTCACAAATGTAGTTACAGAAACTCAGAAAGTGTTATTTTCACTTGATTTCCTGTTACAGGGACAAGCTATTATCAATAGTCGATTTAGCATACTCATTCCAGGAAGGGAGGTTCCTGAGTGGTTCAGTTACCAAAAGATGGGTCGTTCAGTAACCATCCCTATAACTCCAGAATGGCATAATAATGTCATTGGGATTGCAGTTTCTATCGTTTTTGAGCGTCTGGTGTCAAAATCAAAAATAGGGATCACATTCAAAATGATAAGCCGGGATCACGAGGAGTTCATTGCTAATATCACCCAAACTGCCACTAAGCTGGAAGAGAACTACGAGTCTGCTCATGTGTGGATAGGCTATGTATCATTCCATCTTTTCCAGCTTCTATTTCCGAAATTTCAGTCAGATGATTGGGCTAAAATTGAAGGATGTCTTACAATTAGTACAATGGAAGAGGCATGGATTAAGCCAAGAGGATGTGGTATTCGCTTAGTGTACAAAGATGAAGTGAAAGAGGCTTTGGCACAACATATGGAGACTCAGCCTGGAGTTGACCAAGAATTGAACAAATCAAAAGAGGACAAAGAGAGTATCGATGTACTGACTTTTGGTGTCAATCAATTGAACTGGAGTGTAGACCCCGTTGAGGAAGAGGGCACTCAGTTTCAAAGTTTGAGAAGCACAACTTCCTTCAAGGTACAGAAGACCCTATCATTTGATTACTAGTTTCTAGGAGGTCTTGCACTGCGTGGCTAAGTCATTTGATTGTGTTGGTAGTTGTTCATGTTTGCTTTTCCCTTTTTTCCTACAAAAATAATAAACATTAAGGCTTCCTATGTTCGCTCAAATCAATTCCATGCATGAAAAAAAGATTCGTAATTTTTCTATTGGTCATATTGGTGATGTATTGGGTGTTATGTTGCTTTTTATTGTACGACGAAAAATCATTGTCAAATAGTTGGTCCATCTTTCTATGTATTGAGTGTGTCCCCATGTATATTAAATCTTATTATGGTGTGTACGTTATTGAAATCATTGTGGCTTTGATCATTCGTCTTATTCTTAAGCTGTTTAGCATACTTTATTATTGCGGTGAATATACAATGTTACCATTTCAATTTTTCGAATTCTTAAGCCGTTTGGCTAAATTTCCAATCAACGTTGCATATATCGGACTTCTGGTCCCTACAATTTGTGCTCTGCTTTCTGCTACATGATGCATCAGTGGTTTTTTTTTTTTTTTTTTTTTTTTTTTTTTTTTTTTTTTTTTTTTTTGATTAAAATTCATTAACCAACAAATGGTATTAGAGCCAAGGTTATTGTAAGTTTTGTTTTTTTTTTTTTTTTTTTTTTTTTTTTTTTAAATTCTAGGTTGAGGATCTGGTAATAGGAGTTGATTTTTGCCCTTATCTTTCCCTTGTTGAAAGGAGGGTTGGCAGGAGCCTAGAGCTATAGTCTTTGGTCTTCTATAAAATTGACACCTTATTACGATTTTGAAGTGTTACAATTTGAAGGATATCAAAACCCATTAAAATTTGCTGCATTTTTTTTTAAAATTTATAGATGCCATCTCTAAAATCGTGATACCTCAAAATTGTAGTAATGTATTAAAATTAATTCGAGTGTAGATGGCAAATTTGGCACCAAAGAGATGAACTCAGGAGGTAGGGAAAATGCAAGTATTGAATTACATCTAAGGGTGTAAAAACTTGAAATTTGACGCTTTCAGCTTTCAAGCCTTTTATGGTATTCTCTAAAGTGTAGACCATATAGATGTATGAACCTTTTTTCTATTGAATCAAAAACCTAATTCCACGTTTATTAAATCAATAAAAAGCATGAAAACATTTTTTTTTCTGTCTTTAAGAAAGAAAATGTATCTTGTGTTATGTGTAATCTCCAAGGCGCTACTTTGATCTACTTATGTAGAAAAAAATGTGTTTCTTTTCAAGTCTAAGTCTAATTAGATCATAATTGATTTAATTTCAAGTGTAGTTCTTGAACTTAAATACAATCAAATTTAAATCCAAAACAGTCACAACAATTGTAATTGAGTCCAAATTTTTAGAGAGCAACCAGAGGGAATTGTTCAGACATATATCTTACAAAGCTCCAATAATAAGATAATATCTAGTCGATCTTTGATCCAATCTAATTATTAGTCTTTATTTTTTTAAGTAAAGGCAAAATCAATGCACTATCACTTAAGTTACATTTTCCTTTTGTCTTTTTTATTTATTTCATCTCCATCTGAGATCTAGTAATTACATAAGATAATGAATAACTGTTTTGACCGTCTAATTAATCTCATAAATCTAAGTTACATTTTATAGGTACGTGAACCAATCCACGGATGTCGAAATTTAGTCAACACTAAATACTGAGCTTAGAAATATTTAAGCAACCACTTAACCCATTTTTCAAAGTGGCAATTCCCAACATGAATTTGTATTTTTTGCTTTGCTCTTTTCTCAAACTCCCAACTTACCGAGATATTTCATCAATCAAAACTCACAAAGAAATACAATTACTTAAATTTAATAAAACAAATCCATTTTGTAAGTTAAATCTATTCAAAATTATTATCTTTGTCGCGCCCCACAAGATGAAGCTAAGAGATTCCAATCTTGGACCAAAGAAGGAGAAAGTGCATTTAGGGAAGTGGTTTAGTAAGTGCATCAGCAAGTTAGTCTTCTAGCAAGACATGAGTGACAGAAAGCAACAATTTGTACTTTGTCGGCAACATGTTTTATCCACGGGAGAAAAATCAGGTTAGAGCATAGATAAGTGGTAGATCCTTCTAATTTTGAAAATTGTATGATATGTCCTTTATTTTTAAATTGCAATTTCACCCCAAAAATCATATTGCAAGTAGGGGATGCAATTTCACAAATTACATCAGACAACACCTCACACCCTAAAAGAAATCCACCCTCTTTTCCAACTCCGCTTCGGGATACTGATCGTGCATGGGATGCTTCTGCCAATCTCCGACACCTCTTTTGATCCAATTTTCAAAAATTAATTTTCTTTTCAACAACAGATTTTTGAAGATGAAATTAATTTTCTAAATTGCTATATTCAAGAAGAAGATGAATAATCAACTTCTGATTGTTCCAAGATGTGAAACTAATTCTAATAAATACAAAGAAGGCTCTGATACAACTATTGAAAATTTACTTAATATGCATAGCGATTTTTCAATTCTTAATAATGAATTTTTTTTTTGTACTTAAAAAGAAACTGTGATAAAAAGTTATACCTTTGATGAATTCCTTGAAGAACTGTTTAGATCTACAACCAACAGCTCTTCAATTGACCAACTTTTAATAAAAATCCACATAGGAAACAAGATTGAGGGAATTGCGATTTTCTTTCTTGTGCTAGCAACAATATGAAATATATTTTGTAGTTTATCAATAGAAGTCCAAGTGGGTTTAGCCCGTCTCTTAAATTTAACCCAGTTCGATATTTAATTAATCCAATTAATTAAATTTGATGCATGAATTACTTAATCATTTAATTAATTCGAGCCTATTGACAAGTAACTCAATTAATTAATTCTCCAACACATGTTAATTAGTTAAATGGTTAATCTCATTCTTCTAGCTCTCTTTTTGTGTACGACTCATTAGATTCCCGATCACGATGACTAACGACGTGGATTATTATTCTGATCTAATGAAAATTGATAAATTAAAGACCTCATTTTAGTTTATCACCAATTCACATCCGTCGTTCCAGATTGATATCTAGCAATGCGTTAAGACAATATATATGAGAAGAAATGTCACGCGGTATGACAAAATCAAACTTGTTCATTTACCGTTGAACTATAATCCATTCGTCAGTATGATCTGATTAATTACAAGATATGGAGAAATGTCAATCTCGATTACAGATCATGTTAAGTGTCAATCTCGATTATAGATTATGTTTTTCATTCCACTATTAGGTCAACGTAAGTTAAAAACTCCTTTTGACTTATGAGCACATCTTAGTTAAGGATTTCGTTGTTAATTTAATTAAATGAAATGTAGATCATAATCTCTTACTATCTAAGAGTGATCAATTTTCTATTGATTATTCGCAACCTTTTTGTGATTCGCAACCTATATTAGTCCCTCTTGGCAGAGTAACATCCAACATCGCTTAATTATGAGTGTTCCCATATAAGACTTTATGATGACCTCAAATCAAATGACCAATTCCACTATATCGAATGTTAGAGAATAGCTACTGACATTCAGATAGTTATTTGTGTAGAATCTCCCCAATGGGTCTCTAATGTTTTGTTATATAACAAAACATTCACGTGTACATTTAAGTGTCACCATACTTTAGCTTGTGAGATCGACTACTTACTTCATAAGTAAGAAATGCCACACATGATGGTCTGATCATAATAACAATATCCATATCTCATTGTTGTTTACAACCACGAATGATTTAAGATTCAGTCATATGTAATTTGTATGTTACAATCACAACTCCTTGTGAACAAATTACTAATACTTGAATTTACGAATTCTATTATTTAATTTACTAATATATTAATTAAATTAAATAATAGATCTAAGTAAATGAAATGCAACAACTATATATTGAAAGTGTTTGCATCCAAAGTTGATTGGACCCAAAGCATAACATTTACACTCCAATCAATTGAAAGACGTATTATCAAACATGGAAAAGGACAAGAAAGGACCTGAAGGCTGAGCAGTCAAGGATTGAGGAGCTAGCCAAATCCTTTTGCATGGAGAAAAAGTATGAGAAATGAGATATTGCCATCTGGACAAAAAATAAGTACCAAATCTTGCAAAAAGAAATTTATGAAGTTTTTCGTGTGGTACATAGGGCTAACTAAATAACTAGAAAAGAGTTGAAGAAGTTTCCTGCTCTTTATGAAGTTCCACCATGGGTAGGCGAATAACTAATAGAGATGTTCCTGAAGTCAAATCTAAATATTTCGACGGGACAACAAACTTTGGAAAATCGTGTAAGTGCTCACAAAAGGATAATTAAGTTACTCAGCACCAATAGATATTGAAACTGTTAGAATCAGGTTGTGACCCGAATTCCCATTGAATATTCGATTAGAAATAATGTTGGAGGAGTATTGAGAGTTGGTAGCAGACTTGAAAATGTCTTGAAGGAGTCCAAGGTAAATTTGAATTCTATTTCATCTCAAATTCTCCATTATTGGTTTTGTCCATTGGGACTTTACCGATAATAAACCGCTTATGTATTAGTTCTCCTAGTATGTTAGGATTCTTTGGTTATAAATATGTGGTGTAAATACATACTGGAATTGACCAATTGTTCTATTAGAAATTGGTACAAAGAGATCTTTTGTAACTTTTTATTATTGATTGTAATGAATTCTCTATATCTGTCTGTGGTTTTCCCAAATATGGGTTTCCATGTAAATTATTTTTTCTTTGTGATATATTATTTTCATATTGCCCATATTTTCTCGTTCTTTAATTATTTGGTTGAATTCTCAACAAATTGGTATCAGTGCTATTCCGCTTTCAACAAAATAGTTTCAGGTTTGGTCCAACTTATAATAAGTGGTATCAGAGCTGAAGGTTATTTGGTGGGTTTTTGGGAGGTTCAAATTGGATATTAAAGTGAGGTTGAAGCAAGGTAACTTGTTCCAGGGATAGAAAGTATTAAATTTGAGTTCCGCTTTTGGATCACAACAAGATTTTTTGTTATGATAGAATTTTTTTTTTTTTGTTTGGATGCTGGAGAAGAAGTAATGTAAGGACCAATTATATATTTTGAAAGGTTTGGCGGTCTACAGTAACAATTTATGGTTTGATAAATGATGCCTCAGGTGGAGTCGGTTGTGAGCAGTATTAGTGACTCAGCTGGAGCTGGAGGTAAATGGGGGGTGTGGTGGAAGGGGCGGAGTAATTTGGTGGAGTGTTTTATTTGGAAATTTTGTTAGAGTTGACGAGTTAAGTTTTATTCATTGCAATAGAATTCGTATCAAGATGGAATCTATTAAAATTGAGTTATGACCTGAA